ATGAAAAATGTATAACCAAAGAAGAGACTTACAAATGCAGCAATGTTTTCTCTTGTGCCTCTGTGAGTATCGCCCATTGTTAGAAGAGCCATTGTTCAGAATGCTTGAGAGTATGAAAGACTTAGGAAGAAATAGAGAGTATGATAGACTTAAGAAATATTTCGTAGCAGAGAGTGAGAGTTGTGTGGGTGTGAGAGATGTTTCATAAGGTATGTATTTATAGGCAAATAAGTTTGATGTAGTGGTTGCTTGTGCTTGCATGCCTGCGAAGTGTCACATTTGCATGCTTAGGGTGTTACACATATGCAAGCATGCGTTTACAAAAAATGTAAGGTGTCACTCTTGTAGGCTAGGTGTCATTTGTTACAGCATAGGCTCAGGCTACGTGACAGCCTTTGGGATTCCTTTCTTTGTTGCATGCAAGGCCATTGGAGTTGATGGGTGGAGTCTTACACAAAACATTTATGTGTGCAGAATAGGGCCAGGATAGGTGGCAGGCTATGGGGTTTCATAAGCCCATGCATGTATCACGATTGGACAGTAAGGGAGGCGCCATCTCACTTGGCGAAAGAGTACAAAAATGAATGGTGTCACCACCCCATTTGGCGAATAAGAGGTGTCACTTCTTACAGCATAGGCTCAGGCTACGTGACAGCCTTTGGGATTCCTTTCTTTGTTGCATGCAAGGCCATTGGAGTTGATGGGTGGAGTCTTACACAAAACATGTATGTGTGCAGAATAGGGCCAGGATAGGTGGCAGCCTATGGGGTTTCATAAGCCCATGCATGTATCACGATTGGACAGTAAGGGAGGCGCCATTGGACTTGGCGAAAGAGTACAAAAATGAATGGTGTCGCCACCCCATTTGGCGAATAAGAGGTGTCACTTCTTACAACATAGGCTCAGGCTACGTGACAGACTTTGAGATTCCTTTCTTTGTTGCATGCAAGGCCATTGGAGTTGATGGGTGGAGTCTTACACAAAACATTTATGTGTGCAGAATAGGGCCAGGATAGGTGGCAGGCTATGGGGTTTCATAAGCACATGCATGTATCACGATTGGACAGTAAGGGAGGCGCCATCTCACTTGGCGAAAGAGTACAAAAATGAATGGTGTCACCACCCAATTTAGTGAATAAGAGGTGTCACTTCTTACAGCATAGGCTCAGGCTACGTGACATCCTTTGGGATTCCTTTCTTTGTTGCATGCAAGGCCATTGGAGTTGATGGGTGGAGTCTTACACAAAACATGTATGTGTGCAGAATAGGGCCAGGATAGGTGGCAGCCTATGGGGTTTCATTATTGCATGTAATATTATTGGCAGCCTTGGGGGGTTGCATCCCTTACTTAATTGAAATTTTTTGCCTTACGTTGAACATAACATTGATTCACATAATCTGTAAAATCTTCCAACCTTCGAATCAGTCATCAAACCTTCAAACATTCCAGCATTCATACCTTCATACAATCAATAAACCTCAAACATTCCAACCTTCAAACCTTAAAACAATTCTACACAACGGCCTCTTCACCATAATTTGTTGTCAAAGCACATTTCAACGGTGAGACATACATTTGTCCCACAGTTGGGTTTTTGTTTAGAAACACCGACAACGTTCGATTTCTCTTAAACGGGAAAGCAAATTTCTCGTACTTCAAGAAAAGATTGGAGGCCAAACTTGAACGAGGCCTGGTATCCCAGATATTTTATCAGAGTCCAGTTTTTTTTGGAAACAACCAAGTAATTTTTTATAAGGTTGAACTTCAAGATGACGAGGATCTCCAGAACATGATTTCCAGCCATGTCTATTCTGGATACGACTCTATTGAGTTGTACGTTTTGCTTCAAGAGCCTCCGGTGACACAGGAGGTAGAGCCTCCGGTGACACAGGAGGTTGATCCTTTGGAGAATGAACAAGATGAGGTAGATGCAGTTGATGATGAAGAAGAAGATAAAGAGTTAGAGTTTGATGAAATGGTGAACGAAGATTCTGACGATGATGGCATCCCAAGTATTCCTACTGACAAAATCTACACACCACCTCCGCACATGACAAACTTCAACATGGGCGGAGATGAACCTTCTACTGACTTGTTTTTCCAACCGTATATGCAGTCGGATAAAAATTTAAAAGAGAAGGACAAGTTTCGTAACAGAGAGGAATGCATCAGGGCCATCAAAAAATTTCACATGCTCAACTCGGTTGATTTTAAGGTGGATCGTGTAAACCCGGAAAGGTACAAGATCAAGTGTGTCCACCCTGACTGTATGTTCAAGCTGACCACATCATACAGATTAAGGGGTGACTGCTGGGTCATAGGTTCCATGACTACCCATACTTGTGTAAGTTCCACTCAATCACAAGACCACCGAAAACTCAACCATGATCTAATCTGTCAAGAAATCCTACCCCTGGTCAGCAACGACCCTTCTTTGAAGGTGAAAACAATCATCTCCCACATCACCACGGTTTTTCGCGTACAACAATGATTAACGATATTCAATCTAGGAAATTACAACTGTTAACACAATTTCATCTGACCAATGCATCATCAGCATTACATCACTGTCTGTTTTGACTTCCTCCAACCACACATTAGGTCTTCCTGTCGCATGCGAGGTTGTTGTTCGTTTTCGCTGGATCCTTCGAATTTTTCCCCCCTCCGCGATGTCTCCATCTAGCCACCGCATCAACTCCCGCTTCAGACGCTCCATGGAGTGAATGTGCCAGAATTTCATTTTCATCGCAGGTTTCGTGGCGGAGAATATAACGTAACCATCTCTGCTAAAAATCATAGGCGACGTCATTACGCAAATAACGGAGTACAAAATAAAAATACAGTGCGAGAAAGTGTGAGAAATTTCAAAGAAACGGACGAATTATTTATAAAACAGCATTTTGCCCTAGTTTTGCCCTAGGCGCCAAGTGAGATGGCGCCTCCTCTCATTTTTAAGGAGCATGCGCCATCTCACTTGGCTAAAAGACAAGGGAGGCGCCAAGTGAGATGGCGCCTAGGACAAAACCCTAGGTGCATGCGCCAATTGAGATGGCTCCTCCTTTGTGGAGCCATCTGAAACATGGTTATTTGCGTAATTTTTTCCGAAATCCGGTTATTTGCGAAATATTTTTTTAATACATGATTATTAATAAAAAAAATTCACACTATGTATTATATCTGAAATTATTTTATAATTTTAACAGTATCAGAAAACAACTACGTACATCTCAATTAAAGTTTTAGATAAATTTATTTGCGATGTTATATTAATAAAATAAAATATGATTTTAAAGAATACTAGCTAAAAAATATGAACATCTACAGAAATTGGGACAATGAACAGAGAAGTTTTATCGAACGATTATTTGTAACCGGATTAGGCCTATTCCATTCACAAATACATTTAATAATTTTATTTTATTGGTGTTCTGTAAATTTATTATTTTATTTTATTTTATTTTTTCAAATTTATAGTAATAAAAAATACACACTTGCTTATTTCTTTTACTCACATATTGCTATTACAATATTCATATTTAAATACAAATATTTTTTGAAAACTATTAGAATATTAAAATAAACAAGATAACAATAATATTCTGCATTAATAACTATAAATATAAATATGTATAAAATCATCACACCATAATAAATATACATATAAATGAATTAATCTCATTATTATAAATATAGAAAGATAATCATTTATTAAAATATATATGTACAAATTATTGTTAATCCGATGAACTTGAAAATATTAAAATAATTACAGAAAAACATACACAATAAACAATCAAAAATATTCTACCTGTTATAAATTATAGGATATTTTAATCATTTCACACAAATTTAAAATATAGTTAATTTTATAAATAAAGAGAAATTATAAGATAATCTATAAAATGTTCTTTATTAATGAAATGAAAAAAGTGAATGTGATAAAAGATAAATGATAAGATGAAAATTAAATATTGATGATTTATTAAAATTGGTAAGTGATATTTTCTTAATGCGATTTTCAATTTGGGGGCTACAGTAGTTTACGTATTAATTTATTATTTTTTTAATTATTCAATAATATTTAATAATATAATTTAACTATTTTTAAAACTATTTATATGTTTTCAATCACACTCAATTATTTTTTCTTAAAAAAAATAAATTATCTTTATTCTTTATTGTTAAATTCTAGTACATTTCATGTTATATTTTACATGAGACATAATATTTTACTATATCCTTAATTAATATATTAAAATAAATTTTTAAATGATTTTAATAACTAAAAACTAAAATTATAATTAAATAACATTTAATTGGATTAAAATAATTAAATATTAACTTATTTGAATCATTTAAACCAAATTATTTGTTATTTTATCTTCATATCACATAGTTTTTTAAATTTCTTAAAAACAATTCAAATTGCAATATTAATACTCCTATGTAATTTTAGTTTTTTAATAAATAGAATTATTTATTACTATCTAGTTTTTAACCTCATTTTAAATTGGTCAAAGGAAATGAAAAGGAACATTGTATATATACTAAATTGTGATTGATGGTCCTGTGAAGGATACTGTAATCGCAAATAAAGTGTTATTATTATATTTTAATAAAATTTCTAAAAAAAAAATATTTTATTAATATGAATATGGTTATTAGTTTGAACCTTCTAAATATAATTTTTACAAATATTAAAATATCACAACGTATACTAAATATTTATCATAATGTTGAATACATTGAACTTTATTTCTAGCTATACATTGTATAATATGTAACATATTTATAAATAGGTCAAATACATTTTATTTATCTCTATATATATTAATTTTCCATTAAAAAAATAGTAGTAGTTGCTAGAAACATATATTATAAATTATTATTTTATCCTATCAAATTATTTACTTGATCTATATATATACCCTTATAGTATAGTATAGTGTATCTTAACATTTCAGAGTCACAGTGTGCATGCTACTATAGTTTCAAGAATATGACTGAGAGCAAGTATGTGTCTAGTTGGTACAATCTTCATTCCAAAGTTCCAGAATCTTATGTGCAACCTCTGGACAGAAGACCTTGCAATGCTGTCATGTCCTCTAACAAGACAATCCCAGTGATTGATCTTGCCGGAAATGATCGCGACGAGATCATAAAAAACATCATCAAATCCTCCGAAGAATACGGATTTTTTCAGGTCAATTTTTCATTTTGCTTCTAAATTTATATAATATATCAACGTAGAAATTCTACGTTAATAATAATTTCTCTGCATGTCAGTATTCATGCGCACGTACGAGTATGTTTGAACGTTAATATGTGTTATATGTATGTAACAAAATTTAATACATAGGTTGTGAATCATGGAGTTGCTAAGGAGTTAGTGGATGAAACATTAAGGATTTTCAAAGAATTTCATGCTTTGCCTGCTGATGTGAAAGAAAGTGAAAGCTCTAAGGATGCTAAACAAAGCTGTAAGCTCTATACAAGCAGTGGAAGGAACGTTGCTGATGTTGCTAAGTATTGGAAAGATTCATTGAAACATCCTTGTCCACCATCAGGAGAATTCACTGAGTATTGGCCTGAGAAACCTGAGGGATACCGGTAAATTTTTCAAATTTTATATTTTAAATTATTAATATATGTTATGATTGAATAATTTATTCCAATTGATTGACAATATAAATTATTTTAAATTGTCAAGTGTATAACCGTTAAACTTTTTAATAAATATTATTTGATTTTGCTTCATTGTGTTCGTTACATAGTTGAAAAATAGGTCGTGTTGGATCTAATGATATATTTGATTGATGATTTTTTTTGGTTATTTATGAAGAGAGATGTGCATGTGTTACATGTTTGAATTATGATAATTATGATAATGATTTTGTTAATGATTTACTTATATAAATTTGCTTTATGTTTGATGATTATTAGATTAATTTATGTCATATAGTTTCAAAGGGGTGTTAGTCTTTTGAATAGTAGTATTGCTCTCAAACTCTTAAATTTTTTAAATTGTCTTTTTTATATTTTTTAGATTTCAAACATATCTATAAAGGAATTAACATTTCACTTCAGTTATACATGTCACCTAATTACAAAATTCTAAAAAAACATAAATTTTACGGGAAATTTGGAAGTGTATCGGAAATTTTAAAAAAAATTCGATTTTTTTTTTAAATTTCTGAAATAAATTTCCAAAAATTTGGAGGGTTTATCGGAATTTTTAAAAAAGTATTAGATTTTTCGAAAAATCTAATATTTTATTTTATAGGGGATAATTTTATTTTATATTACAGGAAATTTCAAAATTTCCAATACTATACCGGAAATTTGCAGTTCAGTAAAAGAAATTTTAATATATTTTGTAATTTCTAGAAAAAAATTAATATAGTATTTTTTCAAAAAAAAAATCAACAATTTTGAAAAACTATCCGAAATTTGATACTTGTACACACCGATTCAATTTGTTCAGGAACACTTTTGGAATAAAAAAATATGGAGGAACGGAATTTGGGGGTGTGATGTTAAATGCTTCTAATATACAAAAAAATAATTTAATTTCAAGCAAACTTGAGATCTCTTGTAATATATTGTGTTTGAATTTTGAAATTCGAAAGATTATTTATGCTTTGAATGCTTTTATGGGAAACTTGAATTTTCTTGTGACGCATCACGATTTACAAAAAACGGACATGGTTATTAGTGTTTTTTGTTTATATCGGATGGAACTTGAGCTCTCTTATACTATGTGGTGCGTATAAATTTCAAAATTCAGATGGTATGAGAAGAACATTACCAAAATCTGTACACTATATTGTATTTTCAATAATAATATTGTATTCTATTCTTCAAAATTTAAGTTAACATTTATTTTTATTGTGTCATTTCTGCAGTGAAATTGTCGGAAAATACACACAAGAACTAAGAGCACTTGGGCTAAGAATTTTGGAACTGATTTCTGAAGGATTGGGTTTAAGCCCGGGTTACTTCTCTGGAGATCTAAGTGAAAATCCAATAATTTTATCTCACCATTACCCTCCTTGCCCAGAACCAGGTTTAACATTGGGAGCTTCAAAACACAAAGATCCAAACACTTTAACCATTCTTTTTCAAGAACCAAATATCACTGCACTTCATGTCATGAAAGATGGTGCTTGGATTCCTGTTGAACCAATTTCTGATGCCTTTGTTATTAACATGGGCTTCATGCTTCAGGTACATTTTTTATTTCATCGGATTAGATGCATCAATTATTCAATAAATTTATAAAAAAAATATTTATTTATAAAAATCAATTTTTTTTCTTATTGATATAGATAATTACTAATGGGAGGCTTATTGGTGCTGAACATCGAGTTGTAACAAACTCAAGTCCTAGTAGGCATACTATTGCTTATTTTATTAATCCAAGTAAAGAAGCAATTATAGGACCTGCAAAGGAGGTTACAAGTTCTACTTCACCACCCATTTATCCATCCATGCCATTTGGAGAATTGTTGGAGAAATTTATGAACAATGGTCCTTACTTTGAATCACAATTTCGCTTGTAAAATGTGAACATCAAGACATGTTTTGCTTTTATTCGAGGAGATTAATATGCAATTAATCACGAATAAGTTGCTAGAGTTTACTAGCTTATGAATAATTTGGCATGTAATTTTAATTTATGGTGGTCTTTTTATGGCCAAACATTTATGTGCGAGTTTCCGCTTGGTCTTGAATGAATATTTTTTATAATCATGAGTAATTTTTATTTTTATATTAGAAATAAATTTAGTGATAGAAATTTATATACGGTTTATCTAGTTTATATCTCAAAATATACATAGTTAAATTTTTGAGGTATTATCTATTTTAATCTTATGTAGGTGTTTATCTTTAGTTTTGGTAGATAACGTTGGTGTCTTAACAAAAAGTTTATTGGCGAGATGAACCAGGAAATTTCAGTGTGGTGTTTCAGTTTTCGAGTGTTTTCACAAAGTGTGTTCAGAAGGATTCGTTCGACTAATGCCAAACGAATTTATAAGCAATAAAGCAATACTTGTAAAATAAAACAAAAGATGTTTTAAACTGTAAATATAAATAACATAACATCAAAAATAGCTGAAAATGGGTTGATTCAAACGTACATTGCCCTAGCTTGACTCATTTTGCTCGTTCGCTTGGGTAATTTGAGTGACTAGCATATAAGAATGTGAAACTTTGAACCCCTAATACTATGCACTAAGTGTTTTATTTATAATACACAAAAATAACTACTTTCTAGCGGACTTCGCTTCCTTGTATGTCACATGTGTCTTGTAACTTCCATTCATGCTGTCGAACCCACATTCTCCATCCATAACACTTTTCTTTTCTAGTTATGCAATCTTTGGGATTTTTAACGTTTCTAGGCCTAATCTATTTCTCACGAGGCCTCTTTCTGGTCGACTGTGTCCACAAGCCCAATTGACTACTTATGAAATCTCTCCCGGTCGACTGTTTCTGTAGTCGACTTCTCATAATTCAAAATAGTCAAAGAACCTTTTTGACTTTTGGTTGGATTTTAATCTTTGTGAAAAATCCTAGCCAACAGTAGAACATCATAATTTTGTTTTTTGTTTTTTAAATCCATTTTCTAAATTCAAAAGTATGAATTTTGTATATTCTTGATTTTTTTATTGGCAAATAATAATAAATTAAAAAAAAAAATAAGAATCACTAAAGTATAACAAAGCTAGAGGGGTGGTGGTGAATAAACCTTTAATTAAAATTTTCGTTGAAAATATTTAGAAAAGTTTTTATCATAATTTTAAAATAAAATTGATTTTGCATAGCGGAAACAATTTTTAGCGAATATAGTGATTATGCTTATATATTAGAATTGTGTAATCACTTAAACAATTTACAATACAATCAAGATTGAAACCCAAATTAAATCAAGTATACAAACTAATGAGTTCTATTGAATGAAATTTTCAGTATTTCAAAATGTGTTAGTACTTTAATAATTGTGAATTCTCTATAATTCTTTGAGTTCCTTGAAATATTAATAATGATAAAAAATCATATGCATTACATATCATGCATCATATTGCACATTGTAATACGGTGGAAGAACCGACTTTTATCCAATAAAGGAAAGAGTGAAAAGAACAGAAAAAGACCTTTTTCAAGAGTTTCTGAGTAAGGGGATAAATTATGGAAAGGGAAGGTGTTAGCATCATTTCCATCTGTGGTTGTCCACAGGCTCTTAGGTACTTGCTCATCTTGAAAATTGCTTTCGTGTTTGTGTGTTTTGAAAAGTTTGTTTTCTTTATAATAACTCTTGTATCAGTCCTCAAGAGTGTTGATAAAGCGTCTTTTGAAAAATGGTTTTGAAAGTGTAAGGTGAAAAAATGGTTTTTTGAGCAAGTACCTAACAACTGTCTACATACTCGAAAAATGTTGTTCTTTTCCTCTTTTCCTTTAGATAGTGATATCCTACTATTAGTGAGTAGGTAGCCCTATCGTAGGATGTTTATGGACTATCGAAGGGACGTTTACGGTCATTAAGGAAACTGGGCAAGAACTTTAGTAATTATCCTAAAGTTCTAAGATCACTTTTTAACTGAGGCAACAGTCAAAAGGGTCATCGAGGGACATGTGATCTCTTGAACTAAAGGACAACCACTAAAGATTATCACGTTTTGAGAATTGTGACCGTTTTCGAAGGAAACCGAAGTGGGAGATGCCCTAGGGGTGAGCATGTGCTAGTGTATTGGTTCAGTTTATTTATCTTGCGCATTTAGGGTTATCTAATCTTCTTTTTCATGCAATCCTATTAATCTAAGCAGTTAATAGTGCGGAAAATAAATTACAGAAAATTAAAATTCATAAGCTATTACAAGGCCTTCGGGCAATTACATAAATATCACAAGAAGATAATGTTAGAACATAGTTTGATTCTACAACCCTCGGTTAGATTTTTGATGATAACAAAATACAAGATTAAATAAATTGTAAGATTTATAAGACATATATGCTACTTAAAATTATGTTTTGTATTTACAGAAACTCTGATGGAATCAGCATCAGAATATCAGTATCAACATCAGCATCAGAAGATATGTCAGCATCAGAAGATCAAACATGTGCTACGCTGAAGCCTGATGAACAGAATCTGCACAAAACATACTCTGACTCTGATCAAGATCCTAACCATGTCATCAGCACTCAGAAACGCCAGAATAAGCTAAAGCCAAGAACACTCTGATCATCATTAGCAGAACACTCTGAAGTGTCAACGTTACTATGCATTCAAGACAGAATTATTACCAACGGCTCTATTCCAAGACAAAGATCTTCTCAAAAAGGAAAGAACGTTATGAGCATTGAAATGGATTTATGGACAACAACGTATCTATTCCTAGGCTATTTAAACAAGTCAGTGAGAAAAGAATTGGCTAATACTCTTTACGCACGCACGCATACAAAAACTCTCTCACTCAAATTGCTAAAGCTTTCAACCACGCCTACTCAATAGCATTAGCAGTCTAGCTTTATCTAAGCTTCATATTGTGTATTATCACAGTTGTGATATATAGTTTTTCTAGAAAACAACAAACACACATTTGTTCATTTATCTGTAAAAGAATTTCCTTGAGATAAACCGGTCTATGGTTAGACTCAAGAAGGCTTTAACAGTTGTTAAAGCAGTTGTGTATTCAGTTGAATATAGTGGATTAAGACCTCGTTGGAGAGAGGCGAAATCACCTTGACTGATGGACTGGAGTAGTTTGAGATCAAACGAACCAGGATAAAAATAACGTGTTGTCTGCATTTGATTTCAAGTTTTACAATTCAACCCTCCTTCTTGTGTTTTTCACATCTTCAGATAAAATGCGGAATTTTAAACCTAATTAAAGTTATTACAAACCGAGAAACAGTTACATAATATGAAAAAGATAAACGCGCGAAGAATGGAAAGAGTGTCTAAACCCTACAAATGTTTAAAAGAAAATCCCTTTTTTGTTGTTTATTTATTTATGAAAATGATAAATTATAATAATATCCTAATTAAAAAAAATATTAATTAGAATTGATTCTAAGGAAAATAATATTTTTTGGTATTTTTAAAGAGAAAAATGTTTGAATTTTTACCCTAATTTCTAGCTAATTTTAATTTAAAAAAGATTAAAGTAATTAAACTATCAATTTACAAAATTAATTTTTATTATGGAAAAAAAATCTAATTCTAATTTTTTATGATTTTTTTATTGATTTTATGATTAAAATAAAAATGAATTCAAACAATTAAAATAAAATAAGGTAAATGAAATTAAAAAAAAAAAAGAATGAAAAAGGGAATGGGCCTGATAGTGTTAGCAACATGGGGGGGGGGGGGGGGGGGGGGGGGGTGAAACTGAATTTGCTAGGCCCAAATGAAATCAGCCCAGTGTCTTGCGTGAGATCCAGTGGAGAATGTGTTTGAGGGTCCACCATGGGGATTCATTGCTGGGCGCTGGATCTGAATTGTGGGTGATCCAATGATTGAGAGTGAGGATGTATGGTGGACGTCTAGCCACCGGGAACACCAGATCTGCATGAATATTATTAGAAAAATCAAAATTGTTGGACCTGGGATCGAATCCAGATCCCTTCCCTCATATGCTTACTGGCCTTGCCAACTGCGCTGCTTGTTCATTCATGTATAATAACAAGCAAATAATATAATGGTACTTCATCGCTAATCATAGTCAGCCAAAAAACGTGTGCGTCAGCAAATGATTGAGCCAATCAAATTAAAACAAAATGCCACGCCTGCTCCAACCGGAGTCAAACGATTCCACGATGCCAGAGGGGTTCTCCGGTCATCTTCTACGGGAGGTTCCAATCCTCAAACCTGCAAAAACATGGGATTCATGAAGAGTTAAAGGCCCTACCCAACACAAAATCGAGTCCTGAATCTGATTCCGGCCTTAAATTAGCCTAAAAATGCCTCTAACCCTAAAAATGAAACTCTCATGTTTAGAAACCCTAACAATGGTGATTAGAGTTCTTGGCCCTGTACCTTACATGAAAGAAGTCAGAATGCTCACAATCAATGACAATAGCATGAATACCGAATAAAAATCAATTTATAGCATGTATTTGAAAAGTTTCGATTGGCTCACAGATAGAGATGACTCCTGGGACCTTCAGGAGGAAGCTAGGATGATTGGTTTGGATGGAGAAGGCTTGGATTGCTTGATACGATTTTCACTTTTTCTTTGAAAATTTGAACTTTGCTAGGGTCATTTCTAAAGCAGCTGTGCCTCTTCCTGTAGTCTGAGTTTGTTAGGAATATATAGTCTACCCTATTAGGTCAGCAAAAGAAGTAAAAATCCTTGGCATTGAGTGTAAAAAAATATACTTCAAAACTTTCCAAAACAAGAATATTTTCTTCCTTTCATGGCATTGCACGTTTCTCCTTGACATAAACAGAATATATTGCCCAATATTTAATGGAAATATGATCTCAATCCAATCTTTTATTATTTCCATTGTTTACTTATTAAACTTTGAATTTTAATGAATAAAATATCAAAAT